ATGGGTTACTGGCCAGGGCCCAGACTAATGAATCCAATTGTGTGCAGTGACAAGGGATGAGAGCTGAATACTGCTCAAGAGGCGACATCCCCCCAGACTTGCCTGTGATGTTTCTACTTTAACGTCATGTTATGTCATAGCTGAATGTTCAGCATGAAAGGGCTGAGTGGTAGATTTACCCATAGGTTCAGTTTAGAACCTGTTCAAGCAGTTTGTTGTGGTTCTGTGTAACACAAGTTACAGGTGTAATGAAGACTACAATGAATCCTTGAGCTGGCCAACTGAATTAGTAGAACGTAATTTACGAGTTTTCATGCTTGAGGATAGACTTCTTATGGAAGAAAAGATTTTCACAAAGAGAAGGTGTTATAGTTTGAAAATGGTAATGAAAGGGAAAAAAATCAAGTATGAAATGAAAAGAAGGAAAGCAATGGCATTCTGACCTTTCCAGGAACAGTGTTAATTAGTGTGCTCTGAAGTAGTCAAAGTATAATATTTTGCAGTTGCTCTGAGGCTTCAGAGAACAGGATCAACATGAGGCTCACACTGTAGCAAGCGGTTAAACATCTGGTTCCTGTACATGGGGCTCAGCATCTTGTCCTCTGAGCATCATTTACACAGGATCATTTACAGGCTCAGCATCTTGTCCCCCTACGTGAGGATTGGCATCTTGTTCCCCTACTTGTGGCTCGGCATCTAGTCCCCCTACATAAAGCTCGGCATCTAGTCCCCCTACATAAAGCTCGGCATCTAGTCCCCCTACTTGTGGCTCGGCATCTAGTCCTCCTACATAAAGCTTGGCATCTAGTCCTCCTACATAAAGCTTGGCATCTAGTCCTCCTACATAAAGCTCGGCATCTAGTCCCCCTACTTGTGGCTCGGCATCTAGTCCTCCTACATGGGGCTCTGCATCTAATCCCCCTACATGGGGCTCTGCATCTAGTCCCCCTACATGAGGCTCAGCATCTAGTCCCCCTACATGAGGCTCTGCATCTAGTCCCCCTACATGGGGCTCAAGGCTAGTCCCCTACATGAGGCTCTGCATCTAGTCCCCTACATGAGGCTCTGCATCTAGTCCCCCTACATAAAGCTCGGCATCTAGTCCCCCTACATAAAGCTCTGCATCTAGTCCCCCTACATGGGGCTCGGCATCTAGTCTCCCTACATGGGGCTCTGCATCTAGTCCCCCTACATAAAGCTCTGCATCTAGTCCCCCTACATGGGGCTCTGCATCTAGTCCCCCTACATAAAGCTCGGCATCTAGTCCCCCTACATGGGGCTCTGCATCTAGTTCCCCTACATGGGGCTCGGCATCTAGTCCCCCTACATGAGGCTCGGCATCTAGTCCCCCTACATGAGGCTCTGCATCTAGTCCCCCTACATGGGGCTCGGCATCTAGTCCCCCTACATAAAGCTCGGCATCTAGTCCCCCTACTTGTGGCTCTGCATCTAATCCCCCTACATGAGGCTCAGCATCTAGTCCCCTACATGAGGCTCTGCATCTAGTCCCCTACATGGGGCTTTGCATCTAGTCCCCTACATGAGGCTCTGCATCTAGTCCCCTACATGAGGCTTTGCATCTAGTCCCCCTACATAAAGCTCGCATCTAGTCCCCCTACATAAAGCTCTGCATCTAGTCCCCCTACATGGGGCTCGGCATCTAGTCTCCCTACATGGGGCTCTGCATCTAGTCCCCTACATGGGGCTACATCTCTGCATCTAGTCCCCTACATGGGGCTCTGGTCCCCCTACATGGGGCTCTGCATCTAGTCCCCTACATGGGGCTCTGCATCTAGTCCCCTACATGGGGCTCGGCATCTAGTCCCCTACATGGGGCTCTGCATCTAGTCCCCTACATGGGGCTCTGCATCTAGTCCCCCTACATGAGGCTCCCCTACATGAGGCTCTGCATCTAGTCCCCCTACATGGGGCTCTGCATCTAGTCCCCCTACATAAAGCTCGGCATCTAGTCCCCCTACTTGTGGCTCGGCATCTAGTCCTCCTACATAAAGCTTGGCATCTAGTCCTCCTACATAAAGCTTGGCATCTAGTCCTCCTACATGGGACTCTGCATCTAGTCCCCCTACATGGGGCTCAGCATCTAGTCCCCCTACATGAGGCTCAGCATCTAGTCCCCCTACATGAGGCTCTGCATCTAGTCCCCCTACATGAGGCTCAGCATCTAGTCCCCCTACATGAGGCTCAGCATCTAGTCCCCCTACATGAGGGCTCAGCATCTAGTCCCCTACATAAAGCTCTGCATCTAGTCCCCTACATGGGGGTCCCTACATGGGGCATCTAGTCTCCTACATGGGGCTCTGCATCTAGTCCCCTACATAAAGCTCTGCATCTAGTCCCCCACATGGGGCTCTGCATCTAGTCCCCCAGTCCCCTACATAAAGCTCGGCATCTAGTCCCCCTACATGGGGCTCTGCATCTAGTTCCCCTACATGGGGCTCGGCATCTAGTCCCCCTACATGAGGCTCGCATCTAGTCCCCCTACATGAGGCTCTGCATCTAGTCCCCCTACATGGGGCTCGGCATCTAGTCCCCCTACATAAAGCTCGGCATCTAGTCCCCCTACTTGTGGCTCTGCATCTAATCCCCCTACATGAGGCTCAGCATCTAGTCCCCCTACATGAGGCTCTGCATCTAGTCCCCCTACATGGGGCTCGGCATCTAGTCCCCCTACATGAGGCTCTGCATCTAGTCCCCCTACATGAGGCTTTGCATCTAGTCCCCCTACATAAAGCTCGGAATCTAGTCCCCCTACATAAAGCTCTGCATCTAGTCCCCCTACATGGGGCTCGGCATCTAGTCTCCCTACATGGGGCTCTGCATCTAGTCCCCCTACATGGGGCTCGGCATCTAGTCTCCCTACATGGGGCTCTGCATCTAGTCCCCCTACATGGGGCTCTGCATCTAGTCCCCCTACATGGGGCTCTGCATCTAGTCCCCCTACATACAGCATCTAGTCCCCCTACATGGGGCTCTGCATCTAGTCCCCCTACATGGGGCTCTGCATCTAGTCCCCCTACATGAGGCTCGGCATCTAGTCCCCCTACATGAGGCTCTGCATCTAGTCCCCCTACATGGGGCTCGGCATCTAGTCCCCCTACATAAGGCTCTGCATCTAGTCCCCCTACTTGTGGCTCGGCATCTAGTCCTCCTACATAAAGCTTGGCATCTAGTCCTCCTACATAAAGCTTGGCATCTAGTCCTCCTACATGGGACTCTGCATCTAGTCCCCCTACATGAGGCTCAGCATCTAGTCCCCCTACATGAGGCTCAGCATCTAGTCCCCCTACATGAGGATCAGCATCTAGTCCCCCTACATGAGGCTCAGCATCTAGTCCCCCTACATGAGGATCAGCATCTAGTCCCCCTACATGAGGCTCAGCATCTAGTCCCCCTACATGAGGCTCTGCATCTAGTCTCCCTACATGGGGCTCAGCATCTAGTCCCCCTACATGAGGCTCAGCATCTAGTCCCCGTACATAAAGCTTGGCATCTAGTCCCCCTACATAAAGCTCGGCATCTAGTCCCCCTACATGAGGCTCGGCATCTAGTCCCTCTACATGAGGCTCAGTATCTAGTCCTCTGACTTGAGGCTCGGCATCTAGTCCCCCTATTGCTATTGCACTGTATCTGTTTTGTTTCTAACTCAGGCCTTTGTAGTGCTGTAGTGGATATTAACTTGAAGTAATCAATGTAATCTAATCTCGGTCAAAACATTAAACCTAGCTGTCAGAGCCCAGCTTTGGCATTTTGTTCATGTTATCTGTAGCAGGAATCATGTCATTTAGTTAATAGCACATTATAGCATTGGAGAAGCTAGCTTGAATGTTCTTGATGTGTGTATGTTGATTATGGACTGTTCTTGATGTGTGTATGTTGATTATGGACTTTTCTTGATGGACTGTTCTTGATGTGTGTACGTTGTTGATTATGGACTGTTCTTGATGTGTGTATGTGTTATGGATGTTCTTGATTATGGACTGTTCTTGATGTGTGTATGTTGATTATGGACTTTTCTTGATGGACTGTTCTTGATGTGTGTATGTTGATTATGGACTGTTCTTGATGTGTGTATGTTGATTATGGACTGTTCTTGATGTGTGTATGTTGATTATGGACTGATCTTGATGTGTGTATGTTGATTATGGACTGTTCTTGATGTGTGTATGCTGATTATGGACTGTTCTTGATGTGTGTATGTTGATTATGGACTGATCTTGATGTGTGTATGTTGATTATGGACTGTTCTTGATGTGTGTATGCTAATTATGGACTGTTCTTGATGTGTGTATGTTGATTATGGAATGGTTTTGTGAAAATGTTTGTTTGGGTATTGTGTATACAATGGGTATGGAATCATCACTTGATGCTCCCATGACACCCGAGTCGTGTGTATGGGTTCAGTGGGTATCGAATCGTGTCAGATATTGGAATAAAGCATGTTATTGATGTCAGTTTGCCTTGACATTCTTCCTGCATGTGCAGCTGCGTGACAGGTGGTAGCCTTATCTTGCCGCAGAGTCTGTTGAGGACCTGGATTTTAACAGGTTCCCAGCAACATCATGCTGATCGTGAGAGCTGAGTGAATGAACTGGATGGTGAGGCTCAGGGTAGTGATTGATCATGTCTTGTATCATTGCGTTTTTTATCAACCACCAGTTTACCTGGTCCACAGTTCAATGTTTGCAGGTCGACATCATTTTGCTGAAATACTGTGTGACCTTACACAACTAGTTAACAAACAAATACTCCAAACCTACTGTCATTATCTCAATAGCCATGTTTCAATGCCAGAATTGCTGATGTCCTCTAGCTAAGGGCCTTACTGTGACTCACCAGGTCCCCACCACCATCTTCACCTCAATGTGCACCGTTGGTGTCCTGCTTCGCTCATCTGGGTATTCTGAGTCCACTTCATCAAGTTATGACCCATGAATTTCTGTCCTGATGCTGTAACTCATTATGTTTCCCTTGTGTTTCAGAGGAGCATTCTCAGAGGTTGTGTTAGGAGAGGACAAATTTAACAGGGGGAAGTACATGGCTGTGAAATGTATCGACAGGAAAGGTTTACTTGGCAAGGAAGAAGCCCTGGAGAATGAGATCTCAGTATTGAGGAGGTAAGTAGTATCTACATCTAGCTGGACTTATGGCTGACAACATGTCTCCATGGACATGCACTACTCTTGTTACTCACTGATAATGCTAATAAGTCTGAGTTTGTCAGCGCTCTGTGCCAGTGTTATGTATCAACTGCGTCTGTTACAACTCTATACCTTGAATGTGAAATTTTAGTGTCTATCAATTCATTTGTCAAGGATTACTTATTTCATGCATAAATTGAGGCATTCTGCTTGTTCTTGGGTTTATGAAATATTGACATGTTGAGATAATCATATTGATTGAAAATACATACACCACAGTACTAGGATCTGTAGTCCCAGATCTAGTCTGCATGAGGTGGACGTTGACAAAAGATGAGCTTGGTCCTTTCAAGTGATCTACAGGTTTTCACACAGTCATGATCAGTTATTGATTTCAGACTTCTTCAGAGTATATGTTTGTATGAAGTGTATATACTTGTGCACAGTTGAAACCACCCATTCACCTGCAGTGAAAGGTGAAAGGACTTGCATGTTTGAAATGTTCACATGCCAATGTCACTGTAGTGATTGGAATAGGACAAAGTATGTCTTTGAGCTGCTGCTTCTGATCAATGACTGCCCAAATTCACCGTCATCTCCAACACGACCCATTTAACACAGTGTTGCAGTCCCCAGTTTAACCTGACTGAAAGTCTGACACCTCGGCTTCTTGTTGAAGACACTCCAGGAGGGCTCAGAGGATCATACATACACCACAGTGCATGATAGCCAACTCTTCTCAGTACCTCAGCACACACTAAGTTCAATGCAAACACTAGCCTCAGAGCCTACACCAAGGAAGACCTCAGTTTTCATCTCAGATCAGCTTTGAGGACCAGTATTAGGATGTAGAAAGGGACTGTTTGTGTCAACCTTCCTTACTGTTCCCGGCTGATGATGGCTGATGTATATATGTAGGCGTATATACTGTAGAAGCTTGCTTTGTGATGCCCATATGAGATAGCTGCTTATGTGAAATGCAGGCTGTGTGGTTGTTTTGGTTCTGTTAGTCTGATACCACTTCATGGCCACGACCATGGCTACCTTGTTGTAGGAGAATCTGACACCACCACTCTCATCTAGTCTCTCTTCCTTAGCCAGGTGAACCCTAAATAATGGTAATATGTTGGTATCTCAGCAAACTACTAATTGTCACATGCAGATGAAGGCCAAATTGTATTAACCATTTCTTTTTCAACATTACCTACTTTCAAAGTAAAATGTGGATATTCATCACAAGGTATGATTTTATATGTTGACATGGTTAAACTCTGTAAATATTCCCTGGTGGGAAATTAAGCTCTTTTCTTGCTTATGTTCTTCTGAAGGTGACACAGGGATGTTTCAGCTCAGTGCATTTTGGATGTATGCTAAGCTGAGATGGAGCTTGCAGAAGATAAGATGATGGACCATTGATGGCACGTTTTAGAAACGATTCAGCAGTATGTGTCGACTGTATAATTTTGTACTTCAAAACTGAGTGGTGTGTACACTTGGGCCTAAGGAAATACTAACAATCATCGCACTGACTGATTTTGATTTATGTCAGTTTTTGTTATGTGTCAGAAAACGAACAAATTTCACCATTTTTCATCATACATGGATCAAAGTAAGTCTGTCAGCATTGAAGTAATAGTAAAATGGACGGCCCTAACTGACAAGTTGCTATTGTCAGTACATATGAACTGCCTCAGGTGTCAGCCATGTTGCTAGTATAGGTACATGTGAACTGCCTCAGCTGTCAGCCATGTTGCTAGTGTCAGTACATATGAACTGCCTCAGCTGTCAGCCATGTTGCTAGTACAGATACATGTGAACTGCCTCAACTGTCAGCCATGTTGCTGTTGTCAGTACATATGAACTGCCTCAACTGTCAGCCATGTTGCTATTGTCAGTACATATGAACTGCCTCAACTGTCAGCCATGTTGCTATTGTCAGTACATATGAACTGCCTCAACTGTCAGCCATGTTGCTATTGTCAGTACATATGAACTGCCTCAGCTGTCAGCCATGTTGCTAGTACAGGTACATGTGAACTGTCTCAGCTGTCAGCCATGTTGCTGTTGTCAGTACATATGAACTGCCTCAACTGTCAGCCATGTTGCTATTGTCAGTACATATGAACTGCCTCAACTGTCAGCCATGTTGCTATTGTCAGTACATATGAACTGCCTCAGCTGTCAGCCATGTTGCTAGTACAGGTACATGTGAACTGCCTCAGCTGTCAGCCATGTTGCTATTGTCAGTACATATGAACTGCCTCAACTGTCAGCCATGTTGCTATTGTCAGTACATGTGAACTGCCTCAGCTATCAGCCATGTTGATGAACTGCCTCAGGTGTCGGCCATGTTGCTAGTGTCAGTACATATGAACTGCCTCAGCTGTCGGCCATGTTGCTAGTACAGGTACATGTGAACTGTCTCAGCTGTCAGCCATGTTGCTATTGTCAGTACATATGAACTGCCTCAACTGTCAGCCATGTTGCTATTGTCAGTACATGTGAACTGCCTCAGCTATCAGCCATGTTGATGAACTGCCTTAGGTGTCGGCCATGTTGCTAGTGTCAGTACATATGAACTGCCTGAGCTGTCGGCCATGTTGCTAGTGTCAGTACATATGAACTGCCTGAGCTGTCGGCCATGTTGCTAGTGCTGGTACATGTGAACTGCCTGAGCTGTCGGCCATGTTGCTAGTGCTGGTACATGTGAACTGCCTGAGCTGTCGGCCATGTTGCTAGTGCTGGTACATGTGAACTGCCTGAGCTGTCAGCCATGTTGCTAGTGCTGGTACATGTGAACTGCCTCAGGTGTCAGCTATGTTGCAAGTGTCAGTACATATGAACTGCCTCAGGTGTCGGCCATGTTGCTCTTGTCAGTACATGTGAACTGCCTGAGCTGTCGGCCATGTTGATGAACTGCCTCAGGTGTCGGCCATGTTGCTAGTGTCAGTACATATGAACTGCCTCAGGTGTTGGCCATGTTGCTCGTGTGTCAGTACATATGAACTGCCTGAGCTGTCGGCCATGTTGATGAACTGCCTCAGGTGTCAGCTATGTTGCAAGTGCCTCAGTACATATGAACTGCCTCAGGTGTTGGCCATATGTTGCTCGTGGTCAGTACATATGAACTGCCTGAGCTGTCGGGCCGTGTTGCTAGTGCTGGCACATGTGAACTGCCTGAGCTGTCAGCCATGTTGCAAGTGCTGGTACATATGAACTGCCTCAGGTGTTGGCCATGTTGCTCGTGTCAGTACATATGAACTGCCTGAGCTGTCGGCCATGTTGCTAGTGCTGGTACATGTGAACTGCCTGAGCTGTCGGCCATGTTGCTAGTGCTGGTACATGTGAACTGCCTGAGCTGTCGGCCATGTTGCTAGTGCTGGTACACGTGAACTGTTGTCAGCCAGGTGGTACCAGGAACCGGGGCCGTGCTGCAGACAAACACCAGGATTATCTCCACCACAGCACTTCGCTTGTCAGGAAGCACACAAATGTCAGGCAATTTCTTAGGGTCGCAAGGATTCCAAGCCATTATCCTGCTTTACCCTGAAGATGTTACATTGATAAAATAATCAGCTGTCTTTACTTAAATAAGCAGGACGATGATTTACACTAGTTTTTGGACAGACTATGTTCCAGATTTGGAGACACCCATTTCCGCATGGTTTCATCTCATTTTGTAACCTCTGTTCCTCCAAACATTCCTTCCTGCTGTGTGATGAATACAAGTTGATCAGATCCCGCAATAGAAGGCTTGCAGAAACCAAATAATACCACGTGTTCCTAGTCACTACTCCAAAGCTATGACATATATAAAGTGGCATTGATTCTTCCACAATGTAAAGGTCACAAATGAATGATTCACTCTTTTATTTCAAAGTCATGTTATGTGCCAGTAACTTCAAATTCTTCATGAGAAATAAAATGCGCTGACTTCCACAACTTGCCAGTACATTTTCAGAAATGTATTCAGTTGAAGTCCTAAGAGGATTCCTGCACTAACAGAGCAAACATATGACTGTTTATGAAATACCTTTGATGCAGATCATCCTCTGACTATGACATACATGAGTTCATCAAATGTGCCGAGATTACAGAGAGCTGAAATAGAAAGACTGATGGATTATCCATATTACTTTAATGAGAATGAAGTCCCGCGGTTACAGTGGATGAAGAATGTTAAGAGCATCCTTGACTTCATAGAAACATGAGTACATCAAGTCATACATTTATCATGACAAGCCATACCAATGAGTTTGTGAAAAAAACTGGCTTTAGTGTTATGTGTATGCAGTCCAGATTATCAGTCAAGTGCTGACTTTCTTCAGAATTTCTAATGCTCATCTTGGGTTGAATTTCCGTGTTCTAATGCACATTTGAAATGTAATGGCATGTTTGAAATATGGTGTGGCTTCAGAAGGATACACTTCCAAATCATACTGTTTGAACAAGAATGCCTTGTGTAGTTCATTATGTGTATCAGGTCATATTAATTTATTTTTGAACACATATCACTTGACAAGAAGCAACTTAATGCATTGTATCATCAGCAAAATATACCTGATGATTCAGAAATTGAAAAGGATATCAGGGCTCCAGATAATTTTTCAACATCAGGAGTACGTACTCCTTATTTTTTCAATATATGAGTACTGGAAAACAATAAGAGTACATTTAGAGTACTGAATGGAATTTAATGGTGTATCATTAAACTTGTGCTTCGTTTCATATATGCATGACAGCATTGCTACTCTGGTGTAAACGGTCAATAAACAATTAAACAATACTTTTTCAGATAAATATGTCTGTAAATGATTCTAAGACGGTACACAATTGCTGTGGTGCGTATCTGCTATGTTTTCTAAATTATTTCCTACCGTATTGTGTATATTTTTTATTCGATACGGCCCTTATCTGTAGCCCTGGGATATTATCAGTCGCTATGATTTTAAGGGGAAAACATTCTAAATTACATC